CTACCCATGCTAGTTGCAGAACGGGTATTGTTGCTGGTGAAAGGGCGTTGTTCCCTGTTGGCAGCCATCGAAGGCCCTCCTGCTATAGACCTTGGGTTCGCCGAAGTCGTTGCGGGACGCCCCATGCTGGACGGCGCTCTGCTGATCTGCAGCTTGCGCTCGAAGGCTCGGGCCAGATTCATGGCCGTGACCAAGTTGGGTGGGCTCTGCATTTCCACATCAACTCTCAGAGGCTCAGATAGGCCGACGGTGAACATATCCACCTGTTGGTCTGGCCGAACTGACGAGGCTCTAGCGAGAAGAGTTTGAAACTGCCGCTGATACTCCGCGACGGTCCCGGTTTGTTTGAGGTTAATGAGCTCCCCCAAGGGGTTGCTCGTTAATGGGGGCCCGAACCGGAGGAGGCAATACGACTTGAATTGGCCCCAACTAAGGCCTGGTTCTTCCTGCTCCACTCGGTAGAACCAGAGTTGTGCTTCATCGGTCAAGTGGAATGCTGCCAGGCTGACCTTGTCCTTCTCTTCCGTGCGCTGATTGCGGAAGAATTGCTCACAGYGGTACAGCCATCCAAGTGGGTCACCGCTGCCGCTGTATGAGGGGAACTCCAGATGACTGTATTTAGGTATGATTGCTGCTGTCGGTGTGTCGTTCTGTCACTCACCGGAGCCTTTTGTCCGATCTGGGCGGCGGCTGTGGTTAGTGGCTGCCCCTTCAGGGCTCCCTTCCCTGGTGGAGAAGTATAACTCCAGAAGACGCCGAAGTTCCCTGACATCCTCTTTAACTTCTCTTACCTCCGCGTGATTTTCCACGAGACGGTGTTCCAGCTCATGAACCTTGGACGACAGTTGTTCCATGTCGCCCATGACGCTTGGCTCTGATACCAAAATGTTATGGGCCCGGGCGTAGGATCTCGTCACGGGGCGGTCTGTGGGGAAAACTCCTTGCCTTCCCTTGCCCTTGCCTTTGCGAGTTGACCCTATGGTGGCGGACTGAGGGGTGATTTGTTCAAGAGATCACCTAACTCTCCTTGCTCTCTTTCTTGACTGAAAA